GAACAATATAAATTACTTAATAACTATGGTTGAGAAACTCACATAGCGGTAGAATTGAAAGCGTATCAACAAGGACCCAAATGTCCATATTGTCTTGGGCGATGTCAGGAGCACCAAGATGGTGACAAGCATACCCTCGTGAAAATCATACATCTTGCAAAGTGCTTCCCAATTCGGGCAACCAAAATGGGATACGCTCTCAGAATTGTGTAGATTTACATCAAAATCCATACCATGATGGGTCCTTAGGCAAATTGTCTTTGTTTCCATACTTTCATGATCTTCAAAATCCATCCTCTCCAAGACATAGCGTCTTGCATGGCATATGATAAGCTAGTCGACTTGTAAAAGACGAAAATTACACGTTGAAGTAGTAGAAGTCGTGCTTAATTACGAAAAACACTTGTCGTCGTTGCGTACCATTTCAACATCGAAGGTCTCCTGGAGCTTAATGCTGAAGCGCCGACCTTCGTCCAGGTGAGGCCTGTCGCACAGACCCCGGTTGACTATCGGTCTGCCGAGTCTTTTCTTGGAAACTCTCAGCTCATGTGGTGTATATATTCGACCGTCGATGATGGTTGCTCCTCCCTTTGTCCCCGAGTGCATTACACCAAAAATGTCTAGCACACAGGAACGAAGGAGAAGCGACCCCCACGACAACAGTCGGGATTCTTCTCCTCTCATATATGGTGGAGACTCTCCCTCACCGATTCCTCTCTGACATTTACGACCGTCGGTGATGGTCGTTACTCCTTCTTCCCCTAGTGCATAACAAAGGTCTAGCACAAGGAGAAGAAGGAGAAACGACCCCCATGACAACAGTCGGGATTCTTCTTCCTCTCTCATATATGGTGGATACACTCCCTCATTGATTTTTCGACCGTTGGTGATGGTCGTTATTCCTCCTTCCCCTAGTGCATAACAAAGGTCTGACACAAGAAGAAGAAGAAGAAGAAGAAACGACCCCCACGACAACAGTCGAGATTCTTCTTCTCTCATATATGGTGCAGACTTTCTCCCTCGCTCATTTGTTGATTATCGTGTATGGAGCCTCGACAGACTTAAAGTCAACCCAAAATGTCGTTTAATTAACTTTCTAGAAAATCCAGGCCACTCGATATTTCAACATATTTTAGCACAAGTCATGCCAAAATTCACGGAAAAATCCGGCATGACCTTTGCTAAAAAAAGGACATATCGAGCGCCTGAAATTTGTCGGAACGGAAATTAATCAACACTCTGACAAAACATAGGCCACTCAGAGGTGTAACCTGCAAACATGGCCGGCCACTTGGGTAAGCACATATCCTATTTGGGCAACACAAGATATACATGTATATATCTACAAAATATGAGCATTCGAACTTGATGGTCATTCCATTTCAATGGTTGAAAAATATGAATAAAAACATTTTAAAATATCTTATAGGACTCATATTGACATGGAGATTTGGCGGGTCTCATCTCGAGGTCAGAGTGGGTCGGTGACAGGGACGATGGCGTGGATGATGGAGGGGCTCCTTGATTTCTGCAAAAACAAAAACTATATAAGCTATCAACTAATCAAATGCATACCCCTTGCATAGTGCTCTCCAATTTGAGCATTCAAAATAGGAGTAGTTCTCCTATTTGAGCATTCAATAAGCAAAACCAAATCATAAAATAAATTAGTATTCAAATTAGCATGCATTCAATAAGCAAAACTAAATCATCTCTTGCGTTCGTACATCATCGAATATTATCACCAATACATCTCGAATAATAACATACATATAACATCACTAATACAGCTAAAACCCTAGCGAACGACGGGTATCGGCGTGGGCAGTGGACACCCGAAGAGAAGGAACCATCACAGGATCATAGCTTCAGTGAGATCCCTGAAGAACCTGCCAGGTATTGGAGAACCCGCCCTCCAACGCAACCATGTAGCGACGGACGTGCTCGTCCTCCTTGCTGACACGGTGGCGTACCACCTCCGCGGGGTCCTCAAGCCTCCGCACCATCACTGGCTCATGCGACCGCCACCAAAGAAGGTTCGGGTCAACGACGGGCTAGCTCCTCACCAAGCTGCGTCCCCCAGAAGGTAGCACCTCCCAGTACCAGCCCGCCGGAGCCCAGTCCCGAACATGACCCCTCTGATCAAGCAGGTCTCCTCCGCCGAGTCGACGACGAGGATGCGGGATAGGCATCGTCGACGTCGATGCAGGAATAATTGCTTTAACTAAAAAAATAAACTAGTTCTATTAATTTTCTTACAGAAAATAAACTAGTTCCATAGTAGAACTTTAATTAGATCATCAAATCTCATATACCTAAATTTTCTTACTAAAAATAAACTAGTTCTATTAATTCAACTAGTTCAACTAAGCACTTACTATAAATAAAAATAAACTAGTACTTACTAAAAAATAAACTAGTTCAACTAGTTCTATTAATTTTCTTACCAATTCTATTAAACACTTACTAAAAATAGTAAAAAAACTATATTGAATTTTTCTCTAAACTAAACACTACTGCCCTAAATTAAAATCTACTTAGTTACCTAACCTAATTAACATCTACTTAGTTACCTAACCTACCTCCCTAACTCAAAAATATCTAATTAACAGTACCACTACTGCCCTAACCTAATTAACATCTACTTAGTTACCTAACCTAGTTAGTTTACCTAAATTAACCTAGCTAGTTCACTTAGTTAACCTAATGAACTAAATTCACCTAAGTTAATTAACCTAGAGGGAGGAGGAGTACCTCTCAGTGGAGGACGGCCGGTGCGAGGGGGGGAGGTCGGCCGGCGCGGCGGGGGAGGAGAGCCGGCGGGGGAGGAGGGCCAGCGGGGGAGGAGGCCGGCGCGGGGGAGGGTGGCCGGTAGGGGAGGAGAGCCGGCCCGGGCGAGGGCGGCTGGCGGAGAAGACCGGCGCAGGGGAGGGCGGCAGCGACAGCGCGCGGGGGAGGCGCGCGAGTGAGAGTGTGTGAGGGGGAGAGTGAGGTCGAGCGCGGGCCGGAGCGTGGATAAGGAGCTCATAGTAGTGCTTGTATGTAGAAAGCGCTACTGTTGCGTTCAATAGTAGTAGCGCTTCCTACATACAAGCGCTACTATTATGCCTGGCCTGCCAGCAGCGGTCTAGCAATTGTAGTAGTAGTGTGTTTTATGAACACAGCGCTACTGGTAAGTGCATAGTAGCAGCGCTTACCGTGTGCAAGCGCTACTGATAAGTAGTAGCAGCGGTTTCTTATAAAAAGCGCTACCACTAAGCTCATGTGTATAAGCATTTTCCTAGTAGTGCGCATGCATGGTCCCTGTTGGATGACAAAAGTGGTCCAGACATGTAGTGTAGGTTTGAGGGTCCGTCTTGGAGATGCCTTTAGAGCTTGTCATGACATTGCAAGCCTAGCTAAAAAGATGGCTGAACTTGAAAGGCATGTCATGTTTCTTGATGTTTATCGCCTCATTGAGTTGGCATTGCTACTACTGGTAGCGATAGCGTTGAAAGGGCCTTCTCATCAATGAAAACTATCAAGACTGAGTTGCGCATCAAGATGTCTGATGGTTGGCTTAATGACTTGACAGTGTGTTGCATTGAGCGAGGGATCTTCAGAAGTCTTGATCTTGGTAAAATTAAGGTATATTTTTAAAGTGAGGGTAGGGCACTGCCGTTGCCTAGGTCTTTTAGACGTCATTGAAAACTCCATTATCGGTATGATTTAGATTGCTTTTCTATTGAAATATGTATACATTTTCATTGTAGTGTGCGTTGTTGGTGTGTGTTGACTCTTTTTGGTTTTGCATCAAAAAATACTTTGATTAAGACTTCATCCCACCTTAGAAATTTTTTGACCACTACTACTTGGCGCCACAACGACGGCTGGGACAGCAGCGTGAGCGGCGGCGATGACAACGATGTGGAAGACAACAGAGGTGTGGGTGGCCTCAGAGGCTGGGAGGCCGTGCCTACAAGGTCACTGTCAGCTACTATGCATGGTTTAGTTTAGATTAGGTTTGTTTCAAACTTGTTAAATTTTATCCGATTTGCATTTAATATATTGAACTTATTAACTGTGTTCGAATTTCATGTGGACATTTGGCGATCACATTTGGATGGACCCTGGCCGGTCGGATACCCGTGAACACAAAATTTAGTGATCCATGTTAGAGATGCCCTTGTGGAGAGTAACCAATTTTAAAGATTTACTAGATCATCGTTGGCGCGCGTTGCCGCACCCGTCCTTTTAATACGGAATGTTAGGTATTGATGCAATGTTGTGTAGGTATTTTATTTTAAAGTTAACTATATGTAATTATGTACAATTTTATTTTATCTAAAAGTTATAGTAGTTGTAGTATACATATTATTGTGATTTTTTGCGCATTTGTAGCATAAGATGTTCATTATAATAGACCGAATGCCATTTGCAGGAGGCTAGTATTTTTCTCTCAAGATCATGCATGTCAAGATCCTCTTGGACTCTAGGCCTACAGTGGACACTCCACTTGGCTCGCTAGATGATGTTTTTTTTACGATCACCACTTCGCCCATAGAATTTGGACTTGAAATATCTACTATTTTTACAACTGGTGAGTAAAAGAATGGCTAACTGCAAACATAAAGAAAGTTTAAAAAGGAAAACATCGACATTAATAGAGAAGCTGATGTGCAAAAGAAAAACAGAGAAACTGCAGACCATTACTGTGCAAAACGTTCAGGTACAAAGTATCTAAAGACTGCTGGCTGCTGGCAAGTGTTGTACGACAACACAAAACAGTACGACAACACAAAACAGTGTTAGTTCTTTGTGACAAAAAAGAGCTCAACACATGGTGTCTCACAACTATTACATTATTACCTGAGGGAAGATCTTATAAGCATTTTTCTTATGTTTCTCAAGCACCAAATCTAAAAGTAGCAAGGGACATGACCGAAGAAGCTCAATCTAATCATCCAACCTCGTGAAGCAGCAGTACCTCCTCTTTAGAATGATGAGCACAATTTGATCTGTTAGAAAGGTCCGTCGTGCATGATAAACTTCTCCAGCTCCAGCTCCTTCCTCGCGTAAATCTTGACAACATCTGCGAGGTTGGTGTGTGGCTTGTAGTTCCCAAAGAAGGCACCTTTCAAGGTCTTGCCACTGTGGAAGTTCATCAGGTGGGTATTGAATGCCACCTCCTTGTGTGGGACACCCACCAGCCTAACCACGCCCCACCCCTGCACTCAGACTTCATGACTGAGCTCAAAGTAGAAAACACATCAATGCTCAGAATGCTCAAACTACAAGTGTATCGAGAACATACATCATGAAAGCATTCAAAGGCAAATATCATGGCGTCGACGTGGCAAGTGCAATCCACGGCTTTGTTGACTCCAATGTTTGTCATCTCAACAAGCACCAGGAGCATAACTCAATTGCAAGCATTTGATACAATATGGCATCCCGTGAACAAATTAAGAGATAAATGTATGCTCAAGCAGAGAACATAACATACCTCATGCACCGGCTTGGTGTGATCCTTTGGGTTTACAAAGTCGGTGCAGCAAAATTTCTTAGCTGGCTTTTTCGCAAAAGTTCAGTATGTGTTCATAAACAATTATGAAAATGTATATATATTTTGTTTCTGAAGATAGCAATAGACTGTAACTTGTTCTTATTTTGCAGGGTTCAAGTCCTCACTGATAATACTTGATCCCCTATCCATCATGGCCCCTTCCATAGCCTGATCATGTGAAAAGAACATACAACAACGACTGACGTTTATAGGGAATAATTCTCATCAACCTCCAATAGTATATTGTGGTAGCTAAAATATCATGTTTCACTTAAGCAAGGCTTACAACTCCAAGGCAAAAAATCGCCACCCTCAAACCCTTTGCCGTTTTCGCGAGGCATTCTAAATCTGAATATGGTGTTTCATTGGAAAATAATGGCATCAGAACAATCACTGAAGGTAGAGGTCCAGATGAAGACGAATCTCAGTTTCCAGCTGATGGTGAAGTGTGATGGCCCATCACCTATCAGCATGCCCCGGTCGACATTGATCCTGTAGAGGTCACAAATATTATAGTGAGCACATTCCTTGCACTGGCCAATGAACACTGGTAGGACATGGTCATCTGGAATGAACTAAGTCACGCCTCTTCATTGCTCTCAACAATGTTGCGAGGGAGAAATAACTTGGGAAAGGACTTAGATTAAAATATATTTAAATGCAACAACTAACAGAACATTAATTGAAATGACACTGCTCCAAATAATCCATAAAATATACAGTTATGTGCATGTGTTTTCTTGGAGAATTACTAATGAGCTAAAGAAGAAAAACACGAGGTCAGGAACACAGAGAGTAGATCCCTGCCGAAGAATATGAAATAATTGTATTTTACAAAGCACACTTCTAGGAAGCTTGTGTGATGAAGTTGTCGTATGATGTTTCTATCCCATGGCAATAAATATGATGCTTGCTTTTTATTATTAGCTACCAGGAATTTTGATTTTGCTGCAGATTATACCCATTTGTCAAACACCTGATTGCAATAATCGACAAATATGTATATCTGTCATATCATCTGCCATGAATGCCTCGAGGAACTCACTGTTGATTGCTTTCTTCAAAACCCAATGACTTTCTCTCGTTGATCTGCTTCACCTAACAGCGAACGCCGCTTCGCCTAGACCTGCATCGGCGTGCGGCCTGGAAGGCCCGAAGCAGCTTTACCACATGGGCTCGCTCCTTGACCGGATGGTGGATGCCCGTGTGAACACATCGCCCACATCGGCTCAACCGGCTTGCCTATCCACCCACAACCTGCGACTGCATCAACAGTATTTTCTTTTGCCCGCGGCTCACCAGTTCGCAGCTCGGCTAGTATCTTCCACAGGTGCTTCGAGCAAAGGTCCTAGTCCGCTTCATAAATTAAAACATGGAGAAGGTATTTCATGTACGCAGCACCGAAAAATGATCATGAAGGCATTATTCCTAACTTTTTCTAGTTGGTTCATTCCACACTATTAACAAAACAAAATGATTCCATTACAAAATTTTGAGCAAAGTGAACAATGCAGAACACGCCTAAGAGTATACTGGCATGATGTTACTACAAGTCTACAACTGAATAGAGCATACCATTATATTTTGTAACACCTTATTACCTGTTAACAGACGCCATTGCAAAATTATGAGAACAATCTACCATACCTGAACATTAGCTTCCTCCCTAATATCTCATTTGCCTCATCGCACAATGTTTTTACCTGCAACTGGCTCAATCAGTACAGAAAAGAACTCATGGATTCCATGAAATATTTGTAGGGGTTAAGTGAAATACCCGGAGAAGCAAATCTGCATGAGTAGATTGTCACCTTCGAGGAGGGGATTTGACATCAACTTCCATTGGAGGAGATGACATCACCAGTGGTCATGACTTGCAGATGAGCACCCATCCACCTTGCTCCAGCTCGACTCGTCGAAGGTGACAGGGAGGAATACATTGGCGGCTGGGAAGTCCCCGCCTTGCTCCAGCTAGACTCGTCTTCCCATCCTCCCGTGCTCATCCTCTATCTTTGTCACACCTTCGACCTTCATGGAACAACGGGACAGGGAGGCGCCATGGGGAGGTAGCACAAGGAGCCAGAGGTAAAAAAAGGAGGGACAAAGGAGGAGAGGGTTGCGCAATCGCCTAGCTAGGTGCAGAGCGAGCAAGAGGAGGGAAGGGCGCCGCTGCCTGCGATCCCTTCAGCGGCGGCGGCGGCGGCGGTGTCAGGGAAGGGGATGAGGCGCTGGGAGAATGGGTTGGAAGCCTGCAATGCGTAAGGGGTGGAGGCCCAGTTAACCACAGACTTCAGATTTTTCTCCTGGAGTAGCTGCCCTCAAGGACGAGTGGCCCAGTTCGCAAAGTTGAGTTGATCCAATGGCCAGAGATGTCCGAACAGCGAGATCCAAATGTCAAAATCGCTGATAGCGTGAGAGAGCTGGAAAAGTGCTCAGTTATAATGTATTTAAATTATTAGAACTGAAGTACAATTCCTTGGAAACTCGATCATACATCTATATCTATATCTATATCTATACTCTATACCTACTATTAAAGAGAGGTGATATTCTTGGTTTAGTCCCACTTCGTTTGGTCTCCTTTCAATTAATTTCACATATGCTATTTGATTTCATTTTTTGCCATCCGTTTTGGCCCAATCAAGAAAGCCCACCTGACGTCGCACTGTGGCCCACGTCCGGAGTGCTGGCAAAAAATAAAAGAACCGATGCAGGTTTCGATCTCATAACCCTCCAACCGGTCACACACAATTTGTTCAACTGACCCAGCTAGAGATATGAGAGGATTCTTTTTCTTCCGTTGTAACGCACCGGCATTTTTGCTAATAGGCTATTACACAAGTAGTGAAGTAGCTTGGTTTCAACACATACAAATTTAATTACTTACTGAACTTATAGGTAGCTGGCCAGGGCAGAGCTTGGCCAGAACATGCTCGCAATTAACCACAATCGGCGGGCATAGTGCGTTGCTACATACACCTCGATCGCTAGTTTCCGGGGAAGACCTTGCGAGGCGCGGCACCGGCGGCGGCCGGCGCTGCTGCTTTGGTCGCGGCGGCCGGAAAGGTGGGCGCCACAGCGGCGACGGGGCCAGGGGAGCAGCACTCGGGCCTACCATCACAGCAGTTGAGGCGGCAGCAGGGGACCGGCATCACCTGACCGTCGCTCGAGGTCAGCGCCAGGAGCCCAGGAGCACCAGCAAGAGGGCGCCGATCAGCTTGGGAGCCATCGGCGTGGCCGTGCTGGCCTTTTGGTTTTCCGTGGCTTCGTGGGAGCTCGCTGTGGGCTAGCTGCTGTTGTTGCCGCTCTCCCTCTCTCGCTCAAGACTAGAGATAGAAGAATGAATAGGGTACACTGGAATTTCACCCGGCCGAACACAGCCCTATTTTTTCTTTCCAGAGCACGAAGACTCTCGTACTTCATCGTGTGGCCTTTATACTCGAGGTGATGCAGCGGCCAAGCATGCATGACCCCACGCACGCATCACACGGCCACCACTAATGGCCACTAACTTCAGGCCGGCTAACCAGCTAACTACCAATGCATGCACCCGCTAGCCAACTACATGCACGCAACAACCCATGCTTGCACTACTAGCTACGGCCTAAACTCACTCCTTGACCCAAGTGACTCGGCAAGCACCTAACTAGCTAGCTACTGCACACATGCGCATACATGCGCCACACACGCACACACGCCACGCTTCTGTTGTGTCCCGCACGTCCCGCGTACATCTGTCGCGTCCGACGAGCCCGACTGCACCAGTGTGTCCCACACGTTTCGTGCGAATCCGTCGCGCCCGACTAGCCCGACCACACACGTCGTGGCTTATTTCAACACACACCCCCTAAGCCACCGTCTAGAGGAGTCCGTCGTCGTCGACGTTGGCGCCGGCCAAGAGAGCCTGCTCCGCCGCCGGTCCTTTCCGCAGCTGCGGCACTCGTGCCAGAAGTGCCCGTGCTCCCCGCACCTGTAGCAGCACCTGCGCCTGTTGTCGCCGCTCCCTGACGCCACGCTGCGCCCATCGTCGTCGTCCCGTGCTCCGCCGTGCTGCCGCTCCCGCGCCCGCCACTGCGCCACCATGAACAGGAGCTGTCCGTCCGTCCGCCCGCTCACCGTTGTCCTGCCATCGACGCCGAACTCGCTTGTCGAACGCGCGCAGCCGCCCGAGCGCTTTGTCGAACACCATCATCGTCACGTCGTAGAACTACTTGATACCGGCGACGACGGGGAAGAGCCGATCTGGCACCGTATCCAGCAGCTTCTTGACGAGCGCCTCGTCGCCCAGCGTCTTCCCGAGGTTGGCATACCTCGCCGCCATCGCCGCGAGCCTCCCGCCGTACATGTCGAGCTCCTCGCCGTCCGCCATCTCCAGGCGGTCAAATTCACCACGCAGCATCGCCAGCCTCGCCGTGCGGACCCGATCGGCGCCGACGAACCTCACCTTCAGGGAGTCCCATACCTCCCTGGCGGTGAGCTTCGTCGACACTTGCAGCAACACATCCTCCGGCAACGCCCCGAGAAGCAACGCGCGCGCCGTCTTGTCCTTCCGCACGTTCACCGCCGCGTCGCCCGGCGCCACCGCCTCCCACACGGTGTGGACGTCGAGGATCGCCTGCGCCTTGATGACCCAGACCGTGTAGTTGTCCGCGGTCAGCATTGGCATCGCCATCGTCGCCGATCCGCCCGCGCCGCCGCCGTGTGGGACGAGCGTCATGGTCGCCGGTGATCGCCTGAACTGAAGCTCTGTATACCAATTGTTGTTGACACTCTCCCTTTCTTACTCAAGACTAAAGGTAGAAGAAGGAATAGGATATACTGGAGTTTCACCCGGCCGAACACAACCCCGTTTT